TAATAGCAAAAATGAAAACTAAAAACTAATGGTCATCATTTCGTTCTGGTTATTAAGGAAAAAGAAGAGAGAGAATAAAAAAAAGTAAAAGAGCTACCTGGAATGCACATAGTTGTTTAACTATCATCACCTCTGGTTGAACTGGTTCTTCAATTTCACATTCTCTCTTCTATGCATAATGTTTGGGAAAGTACAAAGCCTGGTATATGAAAGACACTTCTAAAAACCACAGAGAGTATCACTTAGTTTCACCACGGGCTGTTATTAAATATCTGTCTCCTCCCTTCCTAGATGCAAGTTTTCCACTTTGCAGCTACTTGTAACAAATATAGCAAGAATTCTACATTCAGTATCTTCATTACAACTCCCATTTGTAACTCACACTACTACAATCTGAAATTCACTCCACTGAAACTGCTCATGTTATGGTCACCAGGAATACATAACTGCCAAATCTAACAGTTCTTTTAGTATGCATTTTACATGGCCTCTATGGCACACACAATTGATTAATCTTGAAACGTTAAAAATCCATGGTTTTAGTGACACCAATCCTCCTGGTTCTCATTTCCCATTGACCTTTCTTAGTCTCCTTTATGCCCATCCTGTAAATGCTGATGCTCCCCAGGACCCTAACCTCATCTCTCTTCTCACTTTTCACAGTTTTCAAATATATTCAAGTGACACAATACATAATATCTTTTGATATATCTTCCATCAGCTAAGCTAGCAGAAAATGACTACATATTTTATAGATCTACCCCCCAAAAAGCTGTAAAACTATTATACATGACTAGATAAGTCCAAATTGTCCCATTAATATTCTTTTATGGATTTCCCATAGCCGGTCCTTGTTAACAGATACGTGGCAAAAGGCACCACATGCACAAAGTAAGTTTATGAGGAAAGTGAAAAAATTATCACTGATGATCTTATTTTTCTGCACTAGGAAGAGACTCCCTTTACCTTCTTTCACACTAGAAGTATCTGTTTACAAGTCTGCTGACCCTCTCAACAAGAGATCCCCTTCCCTGCCTTTTCATCTTTGCATCTCTAGAAGGAAACACAGATGACTGGGCTAAAACAAGGAGAGTACAGGAGAGAGGAGGATGGGGAGAAAAGTGAGAGGAGAAGAGAAAGGGGAGGGTGAGGAAAGAGAGAGAAGGGAAATTTTAAAGTGCCAGAAGTCTCCTACATCCAAATATTTCATCAGTTATACAAAATCCATTTTTTGCTATTAAAACCAAAAGGCATGGGCATTTCTTGAAAATGTATGTTAGGTAACATAAGAACATAAAAAAGAAATTAAAGAAATAATCTCAGGCTTAAGAGTAGAGAAAAAATCCAAATGAAACAACCAAAAAGCAGTCAAAATAATATACTTCCAATTGTGTGTGTGTGCGCACACACCCATGCATGTGTATCTGCTGACAGCACACAAAAGTAACTAAAATATCTGAAAGTATATGAGGCTATCTGTAGTGTCATCCAAGAGCAGGGCAGGTTTGCCCATGAGGAAGAGATGGTTAATTAATTCAGAAAATGCGCTAGGAATTTGGTATTTGTGTTAACTCAGCTATTGTACACCTAATACCAGAAAAGATCAAAGGTCCAAACTTTTATTGGGGGCAATCAATTATTTTGCTAAAAATGGCAGTCAAAGACTAAAGAGAATAGACTTCAAATTCTGGGGTAATCAAATGTGGGCTGAAACTAGACCAAATTAGAAAACAAATACTTTTCCAACAGAAAGAAACTCCATGACTGGAATAATTTCTAAATTATTTTAAAAGAATGTATTTTTCACTGGTTTGTTTTTAATCATATTATGGAAGCAAAGGCTTTTTTTTAAGTTCAACATACTTTAGAAACCAGAAATTTTGGATGTTTGATGTTAGCTGTCATAATTCTTTAGGACAAAGTCGAAGTTTTCTTCCCCATTTACTACATTCCCAAGGATATAAGTAACAAAAGATAAGTCACTATAGAGAAAAAGGATACAAATAAATTTCTTTTATCTTCCTGGACCTGTCTGGTCAAATTTATAAAAAATATATAAAAATATATATAAATTTATATATATATATATCAAATATATCAAATTTATATATAAAATATAAAATAAAATATGTATATGTAAATATATTTAAATAAATATATATAATATAAAAATATTATATAAAAAATAATTTTTCTAAAATTATCCTGAGCATCACCGCATACCAAACATTATGAACTTTTTTAGAGTTCATGAGCAAATGATTTCATTTTATTATCAATACAGAGAGAAATTATAGCTCAAGAAATTATATGTTATTAATGAAACATGTGAAATCTATTCATATATTCATTTGTCACCACTATTAGAATTATTTTAGTTACATGAAATATGCAGTGTGTTAAATTGTATTTTCAATCTATTGAACAAAAGTATCTATATGTTAGTATTACTTTATACTTAGAATACTATTCTTTAAAGTATATTCCTTTTATTTGTATGTAATGGCATCAAATAGGAGCATTCCTAAAAATATTAATTTGTACCTACAATTTGTTTAGCAATGGACAGCAAATTTTCCTCTCCACTGGTCACTAAATTGATATGCACACAAAAAAAATTAAGATTAAGAAAATTTATTTTTGCCTTTTCTCAACAAAATCATAAACTAGCCACATAAATTATCTCATTTAATCTTCACAACAACCCTCTAAGATAGTAATTACCACTATCAACTCAATAACAGCAAAAAAGAAAAGTTCAAGCTCAGAAAAACTAAACTTATCCAAAAGAAAGTAACTTGTAAAGAGAGGTATGGGATCTTCTAATTCTCATACCCTCCTCCACACTGCCACTCTGTCCATCCAAAGTGACCTGACCACTAGGATCCTGTTTCAACAGCCCAAAAGAGGCTCTATTTTCCACTCAGAGAATAAAACTGGAAAAGTCATTACACCAAATAAAGTTTATTAGAGCAAATGCCAACTCTTTAAATACAATCTTTGATTTAAAATTTTTCTAATTGTTAATGTCTTCTAAAATATTTTTTCAAAATCATTAACATTTCTACACTACAAGAAAACAAAGTTTCACATTCACTCATGAGTATAAAGTCTAAAAATAATAAAAGAATTCAATTACATTCTTGGAAATCAACAGCCTCCTAGTTATACAAAATCAAATATCCAGATACATTAAATGTATTATTTCATCTGGTTTGCTAAAGTTAAGAAGACTTTTGGGATCTAAATGAAGTGTAAAGATACACAAACTCTATATAAAATAGATTGATAACTACCTTTGACTTTTAAACATTATTTTTTACTATTAAAATACCAATTGCTATTCCTTTAATTCCTATTTTATTTCTACAGTTCCTCTTCATCCCCCAATTCCTATCAAATCCATCACACAAACGCCTGTGCCTAATGATCAAAAGTTTGAGGACTGGCTCAGTGAATACATCAGTGACCAGCTGTGAGAATGCACTCTAAGCACAGAGAGGCATACTAAGACTGGTAAAGATCACTGCTAAAGCAACTCCGTGTTTAACCATCCAGACTCATCAATATAAAAGCTAAAACTTCAGCCACTCAGAAAATCTAAGTCCTCTGTAAATTTAAGGAAAGTGTTAAGATTAAAAAAAAACAAAAAACAAATCCATGAAACACATGCGTTAGACCAAATAAATATAAATAAAAGAAAAAATTTCCTCTCCATCAGTCAAAGCATCTGTAAACAGAATCACACTTTTACACACCCACACAAACTGGTACCTTTCTAAAACCATTATTATCCCTTTCAGGCAAACGTTGATATACAGTCATGTGTCGCTTAATGACGGGGATACTGCACACCTAGGCTCTATGGTACTAATCTTATGGGACCACCATTGTATATGTAGTCTATCATTGACAGAAACATCGTTACAAGGCACATGACTATACATAAACCTATGTTCTATTTAAATTTTTTATAAATTTATTTTTTATAAATCATAAAGGTTTTTAAATATACTAAAAAGGGGAAAATATTTCAAGGAATTTCATAGTAATTTGGCAAAAAAAAAGCCAGTCCCTAATTTATCTGATTTGAAAAAAGAAATCCCAATTTTCATAAATTAGGTTTGGTTAATGAGGAGATTCTACAACCACTTCTTCAAAGCTTTAAGACATACAGGTTGGAAAGAAGGCCGCTAATTAAATCTCTGGTAGGAACAAGTCACTTAAGAAAGTAAAGGTTCCGAGACAGGAGTTCCAGCTGAAATTCTGGCAAACTATCCAAAAGATCTAACCTTAAGCCTACCATATAAGGCTTCAAGAGCTCTTATCTGCATCCTGGAGCTGGAGTCCTTAGCTTAGAGCAAGTTCACGAATAGTAAACTAGGATTAAGATTGTGGACCCTGCTCTTCGGAAATGAAACAGTCACCATCAACTTATGATTCCAATTAAGTCTATGCTGTGTTCAGAGGTAAGGGAGGTAAACATTCAACTTTGAGGGTTTTGTTTTTTGATTCTGGTTTATTGATCTAAAACTCCATGCATATTTAATATCAAGGACTGCCTTTAAAGCCATGCATATAATAAATGATGGTTAAGAGTGTGGGATTGTTTAGAGAAGTAATTCACAGTCCTGGTTTGACAACTGTCAAGGATGCGTTTTAAGAGGCATCAATCAATTCACTGAAAATTGTCACCACGTGAATTCACTTTAAGTTATGCCATATAACACTTAAGGAAGAAAGATAAAGAAGGATAATGAAAATAAGAAAACAGAATATTTCAATTCCAAATAGTGTGGTCATAAGGGGCTTGGACATGGTTACTGATAATCATCTTTCTAGTCCAATTTTTAATATTCCACAAAAATGTAATAATACAGTATTTAATAACATCATTAGAAAATAAATAAATAAGCTGTTTCTCTCATCTACCTCTTCCCCAAAGACAGTCGTGGTCAAGCAAAAGAAACCAAAAAACCAAGAGCGTTCCAAAGACTCACCTTTTGTTGACCGGCTTTTCATCCTTTTCATAGGGTCGGACAAACCATTTCCCAATCCTAACGAAGTTCTTATCCATTAGGCACCTATAATAATTACATCAAGAATTACTTTTATAGTTTCAATAACAAATTAGCAAGTCACTGAATCAATAATCACAGATGAGATACACCACTGAAAATAAAAAGATCACCATGCTTTCCTCCTATCTAAGTTGTGCCTCACTTCTGTTTCCATGCTGTTTTGTGCACACTGTGTTTCAATGTCAAATCACAGGGTAACCCTTCTGAAGACGTTAAGTGGTGATTGAACTCAATTCACATAACACCAAAAATGCACACTATTCAATTGAAGCAACAACAATATAGACAGCTATGACCAAGTTCACTTGTGTGCAAGCAAATGACAACTATATCATAATTGTGATCTGTCCACTTGTGAGATGCCATCATTTGTAAGCAGTATCCCTGATTTTAAAATATACAAATATGGGAGAAAATGTGCACATTGAAATTGATAAAATACAGTTATCTCTAACATTATTCAATGAGATGACACACGCTTTGTAAGAAAACCTGTCAGAAAGCTGGATGTAACTCTACGCAAGGTTCTACTTACCAGTAAAAGAGCTGTATAGCAATTATTTATTCAATATTCAGGCAATTCTGCATGTGGCTTTTGCCTCTGTAATTTCCACACCATCAAGGAGGATGGAAACAATTCAAGCCTTCACCCAACTCATTACAGATTACACGGGTTAGTAAATGGCAATAGTTTCTGCTGGCCACAATGTAACTCCCCATGGGCAGAGCCAATTTGCAGCACTGCTACATCAAAGAGGCACTGGCGTCAACTGGTTTTATTTTGAAAATGAATTTCTACAACAAAATCTTCCTTGTTCATAATGAAGAAAATCATTTTCAAAGGAACTCAATCTGTTTCCTAAAATTATAAGTTAACTTGCTTTTTAGGCTTAAAGACTACCTAACTCCACTAAAGGTAGAATAGGAAATATGGAATACCCAAAAAGGTGAAAGCACCAAGAAGCAAACCTGAAAAAGCATCTCCACAGTTTATCCCCTACCTAAGACACTTAATTATACTTTTTAGCTAGACTACATATAAATAGATATTTCCATTGAAAAACTCTAATGTTTGACATCAGGTTCCTTCCTCCAATAATACTACCAATACCTAGTACTAGAGTCACTACTACCACCACCACATTTGATTACCAGGCACAGCATATCATTTAATTCTTGTAATAATTATATGAGACAGATGTTACACTGCCAATTTTTACACATGAAGAAGCTGAGGCACAAGTGAGAATGACACCTAGACGGGGTCAAGCAGCTAACTGACAGCAGAGCTGGGATTAAGCCCAGGTATATCTGATCACAGAGCCCGGACACTGAACTATTACCATATACTGACTCTTATGCTGTCACATTTCCTCAATTCCTTCCTCTTTCTTAAAATCCTGATGCATCTTGTAATTGATGGGTCTATTTAACGTTTCTTTAATTCTGTAAACAATGCTATTAAATTGAAGGTATGTCTTAAAATTGATACTTCTTAGAATAAAAGCAATAGGGCATGTAATAGGTACAGAATTACATCAAACACTAAACACTGTCTTCTAATGACATATCCTCCCTTAATAAATACCTCCCTTAATAAATACCACTTTAAATATTTACTCTTTCATAGATGTCCTGAGGGTCACAATTCAAAAGAATCATTTATTCAATAACAGAGAAAACAAGAGGAATTTACAGTTTATGGACAGAAAAAATCCAAGGCTTTAGACAGTATAATATAAAAGATAACAGATAAAATATCTCTGACTAAAGAGGACAATGTGTAAAGTTTGTTTCAAAATCCTTGTCCTTCTATTAAGTAAAAGCGACAAATTCTATTTGCTGACTTCATTCCAGAACAAACAAACGGGGAGCTGAGGGCTGGAGGACCAGCACTTAGCCAAGACCACTCAAGGACAAGGGCGAAAGGCAAAAAGCTAATGAAAATGCTATCTGCGAGTCTAACTCTCTGTGCTACTATCTCCTGGAGTTCCCACTGCAGATCATATTTCTTTGTCAGGCAATGTCAACAAAAGGTTATCACTAATACACAAAACAGTCATGGAAACTACTGATCCTTCAATCTGAAACCATCTGGATCCAAATGAGAGTCATAAATGACTTATGTGACTTTCAACTGCTAATCAGTTTCTATGTGATCAGTAATTTCCTACACATTCAAAGGAAAACATAAGAACACAGAATTGCATTGGATGAAGTCATGTTTTTACTCAGTTTTCTAAGTACTGGATTTGCAACTGACTTATCTCTGCATAAGGGAGCAGTCAGTCATGTCGTCAGCAGCAATACGGCAGAAAGTCAGCAAAATCACCAAGTACCTCAGAGGAGGCTGGGACCAAATTAGTCAAGTTGCTGAGTACTGTGCTCCCTTTCTCTGCCCTGCCCCCCAACCCAATAGAGAATAATTGCTCAGTTAGAAGTAGAGATGAGTAAGTATGAGGGCGAAGTTTCTTTTTGCTCAAGAAGCAGGTAAAAAGAACTCAGCAACGATCACTATCAATTTCTACATTCTTCAATCACTTAAGTCTCAACTCCGGCTGGTCCAAAAAACAAACTTCACTCTCTTTCTCTCTCTCTCTCTCCAAAAAACAAACTTCACTCACTCTCTTCCTTTCTCTCTCTCTCTCACTCTCCCCCCCACCACACACACACACACACACACACACACACACACACACAGAGATACAGATACACACAGATCCTCCAAGACTAGGCAGTACAGAAAGTATTTCCACCTCATGTCTTGTACTTTGTCATGGGAGGAAATGAGAGAGGAGTGGGTGTGTTTTGCTAAGGAAGACAGTTCTACCACACGGGACGATGCTGGCTCAATAGCAGACTATACTGAGGTACTAAGCCCTTGGTTCTCAATCATTTTTGGATCATGATTCTATGGTAAAAATAATCTAATAGAAGTTATTATAGACTCTTTCTCCTGAAAAATGCATGCAAGAGTAAAACACTGCATACAATTCCACAGGGTTGGTGAACTCTCTGAGGCAGATCCTAGATTAAGAACCTCCGTAATCAATACTACCATTAATCGCTACTAACCCTGCTTTGGCCTGGAATCCCTCTCTTGTCCCACTCTATCCCTTCCTCCTCTCATTTAATTCTGTTCATCTTTCCCGTCCCAGATCAGCCTGCACGGTACTCTAACATCTACAAACCAGCACTTTCACCACCAAGTTGTAATGATTGATTTCTATGGCTTTTGTCTCCCAAGAAACTATGAGCCATTTGGGGGCAGACACGGCATCTATCTTACACACTGACAATATTGAACAAATATTTAAATGTCTGTTATGTTATATGCTTTATATTCTGCTCTATATTAGAAGGTGCTCAATCTGAGAAATGAATGCTATACACCAAGGAGTGTTTTCCTATTCAGCTATAATATTGTTAGTCTTCTTGTTTGTAACCACTATTCATGGACAGCACCATACTGTTAATTTTCTTGTGTGTATGTGTTTTCCCTAGTGAGACACTCAATGCTTGAGGAAAAAGATCTACATGTTTCATTTTTTTATAGCCCATCACCTCTTACTCCAGACTAAAATCATAGTAGATACTCAACACGTCGGGAATCACATAAATGCTAAAAATGTTCTGGAAGACCAGCACTTCTGCCCAGATGCTTTCAGTCTATGTGAAGAACAGAATTAAGCAAATCTTTTTAAGAGAGATAATTCTAAGATATAAAAACTAAAGAACATCAGAAATATAATTTCCCCTTTTTATACTCTATTTTATTATTTTTGAGGGATGAATTTTATATTTAATTTGACAAATAAATAAACCTAGCAGACATACTCCGTGTGCCAAAAACTGCTTCAAATCAACGTCAGTTGATAGTGCTAAGAATATATTATCAGTTAACCCTGGTTGTCCACTCAGTAATCCCAATCATTATCATTGAGATTTTCAAAACTACCTTACTATTAAGGTATGATATAATTCTGTAAAGTAGTACAATATTATTTAGCACGATCACTAAGTGATTCCACATTTATAAAACATTCCTTAAGCAACAGTTCTAGGAAATAATTTCTCTTTAGAAATGATTCCCAGCCCCCTACCACCTCCCAGAAATCACTGTTTCAAGAAGAAAAGAAACAGCTGCTAAAAAATGAAAATGAAATCAGGTTTTGTGTGTGTGTACACATAATGTTTCTGTGTCATGTCATATGGCTCTAAATAATTAACTACAAGAGCAACTTGACTCCGAAGTTGGCAAGCCCCAATCTCTAATCCCAAAGCCATGGGCAGACCTGATGTATGATTACAAATGCAACACCAGGAGCCCACAGCCTAACTCAGCAAGCCATTTCCCAATAGGGAGTTGGTAGTTTTAGAAGGGAGCCACAACAGCCTCTGGCTCCTTCTGTGTCCCACAAATTATGTAAGTATGACAGTTTTCATAGATTAAAAAGTCCAAGGATAGTGTTCCTCTACCACACCCTTAACCAAACTGCACCTTAGTGTTATCAGCTACTTAGAGAGCTGCTCAGATAGACTAAATTTTATATAACTTCATACCAGTACATCTTCACCAGCATCAAAGCCCTTACCTTACCACTCCAATATCAATCAAACACATATGCAAAGAAGTCCCCTTCCTAGAAACCGCAGTGCTCCCAATTCCCAACCAAATAAAAGAAACCCACATAATTTAGGGGCTGAAAAAGTCTTTTTCAACTGATCCCTTCTATCTTCATTACTTTGGGTTTCTACTGTGCTCTAGGGGATGCTGTCTCCTCTGGTCAAGCAAACTCTATTATTTCCATCCTTTCCAAAATCTCTGTAAGGTTAGCTTTTTTGTAGGCCTAGCCTCACCTTAAATGTCTATTCAAACTCAATTCCAAAGAACCATATCTCTCCTCTAGTTTCAAACTTTTAGTGTCTAATCCCATTCTCCAGCCACAAAAAAAAAAAATCTTAATTTTTTAAAAATTTAAAGTCTTAATCCTTTCCCTCTC